CATACGCTGATCCCGCTAATGCCACGCTTGAAAATAAATGAGTCACCGCATAGAGATGAAACCTGTCCTCCCAGAGGATGGGGAATTTCTTAAATTGCCCGTCATTGATGGCCTGTGGAGGTTCCCCTCACGGCTTTGTCCCGTGGCCCGAATAATACCTCTGGGACGGTTTTGACGACGTCGGCAGAATCAGAGCAAAAGCACCCGATGACAAACTTGACCTGCTTGTGGTTTGACGGTTAGCAAGAAGTGAAATTCAGGTTTGAACACAAGCGTTACCTTAGTGAACTCTGTAAGTGATGTGAAAGCGGAAAGTAAAACCAAAAATGGAGCAACTGAAATAATAATTTGGTAATTAATGTGAGTCATGAGGACATTTCATCTGTGAAACTGAACTAAAAGATGGTTGAAATGAGAAGCTAATGGAAAAAAAACTAAGAACTTCTTACTCGGGCATAAATGTTTAATTGGAAGTCTTTCTTTTTTTCTTTTCCAAGTTAATATGCTGCTTCTAGTGTTTCTTAAAGGAACAGTTTCTGTGCTTCGAGCAGAAATGCACCAATTAATCGGCCAAATATTTGAATTATTCAAATTACCCAAATTTCATTTATCCCTATTCATTGAATGCTTCAAAGCTAAAGATTCCCATAAGTTCTGCGACATCCAATTATTTTTTATTTAAATGATTAAACAACTGGTCAAAGGTTAGATGTGTGTTTGGTCGCATGAATGGGGATAATTGAACAATTCCTACATCCATCAAGAGCATGCAGCTTCTTTTTTCTACTATAATCTTAACAGGCTTAGCAAAAAAAAAAAAAAAAGTGCATTGTAAGGTAGGATGTCAGAAAATTTGACTGCTAAGTTTAAACAGTACAAGTTGTCTTTCGGGGGCCGTTTTCATTTCCGTTCGTCATATTTGTCGTCTACTGTACATGCATGAAAGGATGAGAACCATAAAAAAAAAGTTCAAAGCGTTACAGTTTTGTGTTGCTATGACGTTGGTCTTATCTGATCTTAACGGGATGCAGCAGGTTTGCAGACTTCCTGGTGTGAACAGAGGCAGAGGCAGAGGTGTGACAGCATCAGGCTTAAATGACTGACATGATTATTATGTGTGAATTTAAATCTGTCCAACTGGAAAATGAATGTATTAAATTCCTGAAACAGGGGAGGCTGTTTAGTTTGCAGTGAATTGTTCTGGGTCTTTCACAGGCGTCGTATCTTTCATGTTCATCAGTGTTTGTCATTTGTAGGTTCGTTGCAGATGAACTCATTTTTGTTCTTCCACACAGAAACAACCTCTTTCTTTTAAAAGCCTCATTTCATCGAGATGTTGAACCCGAACCACATTAAAAAAATAATCTAACTTTTAGTTTTGTTTGTGGCCTGTTGTCCGAAGGCATTCTTTCCTCTCTTCTGCTGTTTGTTCACAGTGATGTGGTCAAAGTTTCTTCTAACATTTGCGTCTCAGCCGGCACAGAAATTGTGGAGGAAGTCTCATGTGATTTGGTATCGAACAAAGGAAGGAAGTTGGGGAGCGCTGCTGGGAGACGTGCCGATGTTCAGTTCTGCATTGACACGTCTTCAATCGTTACCCAAGTGTCTGCTGGGTAATGGCTCAGTGAATGTGCCTGAAGCAGAACTATGAGTTTGTGTTTTAAATGCTTGTTTTACGTCACTTTTTTACATTGCACAATTGCTTGTGCATGTCAAGATTCTGTGCAGGACTATCGGGACAAACTTCCCTGATGACGATGGAGGACATTTTTTGTCATTTTGTTGCAAAGCACTTGCTGGGAACACTCGTCTTTTTAGAAACTGATGCCATCTGCTTTCTCTTCCTGCTTCTGTTAGACTTTTTTTTTTTTTTGGATTGAAACAGTGGTTCTCCACTGGTTTAGATCGAGTCCTGCCTCAGAGGAGAAAACAAGATGCTGTTGAATAAGAAAAATTAGATTTAGTCAGCAGTGTTCATTTAAGTTATTTTCTCAGGATGTATGAAGAAGTAAATGAACTGTTTTTGTCCAGTTTCCCCCCCCCCTTCCCTCAGTATAGAAACATGAGGTTTATGTTAGAGCTGAATGGATGTTTTTAGTCCAAATAAACTGCTTCACCAGCCTATTAAAAAAAAAGCAGAAATCATTTAGAGAACCAAACAGTAACTTGGTTCAAAGATGGAAGTTGATCTATAGAACTCAGCATTTTCTATTGAGTTCTTGGCCTCCAAATTTTATTGCGATCAGCATTTGTGGCATTACAGTATTATAAATGTTGCACTGTGTCCATGGTCACAGTTCAGAGAGGCTTAACGTACGTTCAGTTTTTAACCTGTTGAAACGAGGCTTTGGCGTCACGTTTAGAAAAGCTGAAATATAAATTAGAGAAATGAAATTACAAGATAAACAAAATTGGCATATTATCCTGGTAATAATATAATGGTCTGAAAAGTTTGTCTTGTTTCATTTTGTCTAAACCAAAAGATTTTCACGTCCCCCTTTTTAAATTGTCAGGATTTTCCCCCCGCCTGAATAAGGAAGGGAACATTAACGGTATATTACGCCAACTGCAGGAAAACGAATGCCGTGTATGAAACCACTTGTTTAAAAAGAGCGGAGCTCATCGGCGTACTGTGGTAGCAATATTAGGTATTTTTAAAGGATGTTACCCGTTTTTTCCAGTACAAGTAATTCAGTTTTAGGTACTTTTAGCTGTGCTAAAAGTACCTAAAACTCACTAAAGTACCTGTAGTGGTGATTCCTCATCACTACACTTAGGAAAGTGGCAGCAGCAAAACTACGTTCTGTAGCAAATGAATTTGTTGGCTAACAAGGCATTTAAGGTGAACGTCATGCGCTTTAAATTAATTAACTATTCGGTACTAGTTGAGTAAATGCTGATTTTGGTTTTCTCTCTGTGGCGACAGATAATGTTTCTAATATTAAACATCTAAAGTGTTAACTAACACAGAGCGCTTGGTAACACTTTATTTGAAGGGGGTTGAATAAGACTGTCATGACACTGTCATAAACATGACATAACACCTGTCATGAACATCAATAAGTCTTCATGAATATTTATGACTGTTGTCATAAAGCGTCATTCGGTAAATTATGACACTTTTAATACAAAGTTGACATTATTCAAAATGTCTTTGTTATGACAACTTGTCATTAACCAGGAAATCATTACTGATATAAATTTGTTATAAAAGTATTACTGATTGTACTTTAAAAATTAGGTAACTTTATGTTATTAAAGGTAAAGTTTAAACAGATTTCCTGGTTAATGTCAAGTTGTCATAACAAAGACATTTTGAATAATGTCAACTTTGTATTAAGTGTCATAATTTACCGAATGACGCTTTATGACAACAGTCATAAATATTCATGAAGGCTTATTTATGTTTATGACGGTGTCATGTCAGTCTTATTCAACCCCCTTCAAATAAAGTGTTACCGAACGCTTTCCTCCAGACTTCAAGGAGCATAAGTTCAGATTGACAGTGGTATATTACCTGTGTGTGTGTGTGTGTGTGTGTGGTTGAATCTTGTGGTTGACAGCTTCAGCCGCTAACTTTAGTGCTGTGGTTATCACTTTTTTTTTTTTTTTTTACAGTGTATGACTGAGTTCCCACTCAACCCCTCTAACATCTACACTGAACATGCTTTCTTTTGTTTTGATTTGTTTTTTTCCCTGTGGTGGATCTTATTTATGTCGTGCTTAAGATCACAAGAGGAAACGAAACTGAAAGGTGTTTTTATTTCTTCTTCATATGTTTGTGATTCATAAAAGCGTGGGTGGAAAATCTGTAACTCATGTGACAGAAATTACAGAAAATGGCCAAAGTCCAGCTGAACAATGAATAAACTGATACGCTTCTCTTTCCCTTCATTATTATTTTCACAGCTCTTGTCTCTAAGATAGTTAAGCACGGCTTCCCTCTTCATAAATCACAGTAAATAAGTGAAAGCAAGTAGAGGGCAATCTCAGTCTACTGAAGCGTGGGCGCTGTTTTTGAATAGATGCAAGTGTTACAGGACTTTGTCAGCCTGATTATGAAGAATTGACTCTTCACATTAATTTTATAATGATGGTGCAAATTAAAATACAAAACTCGGCAAGGGAGTTGCCGGCAGCTGCCTGGCTGGAGGGAAGGTGGCAGTCTGCTTCTGCTGCTTTGTTTTAGAGGAAGTTTGTTTTCTCGGACAATGTTGGGAAGTTGCACCAAGGCTGTGGCTCTTCTGTAGGTCACAATGTCTTAAGATATTTTATTTATGGTCTAACAAAGTGCAGTAAATCAAGAGCTCATGTTGGACTTCTTTGGTTTGGGAGAAAACTACAGATGCCTCTAAAAATTAGAATGTCATAAAAAAAAATTCTATATTTTTAATCCTATTAGAAAGTGAAACTTTATCTCTCTGTTGATTATTTATTATTGATAATAATGAATCAATATTAGTTTGACTTTCTGGAACTTAATTTAAAAAAATACAATATTTATGATATCAACACTTTTGAATCTGTGCACTTGAAAATCTATGCATCGGTTTTCCAACACTGCCCTCTGGTGGTGAACTCATCAAACGTGTCAGAGTCTGTATACAAAGGAGCTAAATGTATTGGATCATCAAAAAGTTTAGATTTCAGCAGTTCAATTCAAAAGTTGAAACCTTGCCTAATTTAATTCATGTTTTTATTTCAGTTAATTTTGATGGCTGTGGTTTTCAGCTCAACGCAAACCTTCAAAATGCGTCAACAGTGTCTGGAAAAGTGTCCAAACACTCATATTATATTTCATTTTATTCTGAAAAACAGTGTTTTAGGTTTTTATGTGCTGTAATGAATCTGCTGCACACATTCATCTTTAACAGTTTAGCTAAGACCTGTAAGCTGTGACTCTTTGATATTAAAAGTTATGACTTTATCATTTTAGATGTGTCTGATCATCCAGCTCCTCATCATGTCTGCAGTCTGATCTGTGTTTTGTGTTTCCACAGTGGCTCCTCCGACCAACGTGACCCTAACCTGCCGCAACCTGCAGAACATTTTGTCCTGGAATTATGATAACGATGTTCCTGGGGTTAGATTCAAAGTTTCAATCCGCTCTACAGCAAAAATATCAGGGTACTTTTTATGTCTCTATATTGGTTCTGCTTTATCACAATATATTTTCATGACATTTTTTTTTCCCACAATCTAATCGGTACAAAAATTACACTAGACGTATATTTGTTGTTTTTAACTAAATATCCGTAGTTGTCACCCTGTCCTGCATTTTATTTAGCTCATTAACTTACAAATTAGAACAGTGCGCCAGTATATAAGAAGGTGAGTAAATGGTTTTAGGTTAGAAAACTGCATTTAAATACAGAACAAAATAATTTTTTCAGGTTGCTCTTTCCCCTTTAACTGTTCAGTTGTCTCTTCCACCCAAAGCTTCAAGTAATGTTCTGTTTTTTGTCCTTTTTCTCACCAGTTGCCCTAAAAAAATGTGGGTTAACGAATCTTCTTCTCGACAAGCAGATCTTTCGCTTCTGTCAGATCCAGATATTATGTACCTTGTCGATGTAAAGGCTGTACTGGGGAAAGATGAGTCTGTTTCGTCTCCAGAGGATGGCATCGAATTTTCCTATTTCTCCAGTGCTCTGAGTGGTCAGAAATGTAAGTATATTCAAGAAGTAACAAAACTATCAGAGCAGCCCAGAGACCCCGTACTGAAGGCTCCAGGCTGCTGGGGTCTTTTTTTTCTCCCCAGTGTGATTAAAGTGTGTGTGTGTGTGTGTGTGTGTAATGATCCTTCGTCGTTTCTCAGGTCTTTTGGATATCCCACCCGTTGACATCACTACCCAGGACCAGCACCACATGCTGGTAGAGTTCAAGCATCCCTGGCTGGTGTACAAGGACGGGCTGTATAGATGTAACGCACAGAAGAAGAAGAACGAACTACCAAACTTTAAGTACACCATCAATGTGGTTGGCCAGGTGAGACTGCTCCCTCCCAGTTTGGTCTTTTTGCCTTTAACTTTCATCTCTCCAATAATAATAAGATTATGAACAATTCCCTTCTGGTTTTCGACCTCTCCACAGTAAACGGCTCCAATAAAAATCACAATCTCCTACTTTCATCTAACTACTGTCGTCATACTGGACTTGAATTCAGCCTTTATGTCAAAGGATCCTCTGTCAATGAGGATGTGATGTCCACATCTTCATTGACGCATTGACAGACGTCCTCTGTGAATGCGAATGTCTCATTCACGGATGACATCTGTCAATGACTTCATTGTTTCTCTCAGTGACGGCGTGTGGGAGAAACACACCCTGTCATTGGAAGGGGTGTTTTTACTCCCACACACCCCTTCACTGGTTCATCTCCCACCATTCCAACCATTCTCAGCACATCTACCAAACATTGGGAAGCAAACTATTCCCAACATTCTTCTATTTCTTCTGGTGTACCACTAGGCTCAGTACTTGACCACCTTCTATTCATCATTTACCTCCTTCCCCTTGGTCATCAGAAAACGCAGTGCAGACTTCCATTGTTATCCCGACAACATCCAACTCTATATCTCGTCCAACCATTGCTGCTTACACAAGCAAATATTGATGTTTGAATCTGCCTTCGCAGAAGCAACTGTGCAGAACTGCTTAGAAACCATTTGCTTTAGTTTTCTGTTTTACCTACAGTATCACTCTGTCAGTCTTATTAAAACGGTCCTGCTGTCTGTTCTTGAAGGATAAGCCCCACTCCTCTGACTGTGAGGAGGATGAGTGCAAGATCAGACTGCAAGTGGACATGAAGCAGGACAAACACTGTCTGAAAATCAATGGAGAGCTCGAACTGATGACTGTGGTGACCACAAAGGAATTCTGCACCGAGAAAGCCCCACCGCCTCTCAGTTGAGTAACGTTTCATTTGTTTCATTCATATAAGTTATGATGGTCAAAACTTTTTTGGCAATATCAAACCATGAACGATTTAAATAGATCAGCACAACTAACATTAAACTCAAAAAGACACTTTTAAAGCCTACCTCCATCTCAAAAATGCGTATTCAGTTCTGATCTGCTGCAGATGTGTTTCATAGTCAGACACCAGCATCCCACTCCATATGGGTAAAAGCCTCCAGTTCATTTATATTGCAGGGGCTTTTTTTTTTTTTTGTGCTGCAGCTATTTTTTTTAAACATCTTTGCTGAGATTTTAAGTCGGGCAGGAAAGACTGGCACTTCCAGGACTTGTTCTGAACCTGAGCCTGGTGGGCTTTGAGCTGCGCTTGGGATTGCTTGATCCTGTCTCATCAAAATTTCTCTCAGGATTTCCCAACACATAACTGAATCCATCTTTTCCTCCACATGTTGCTGATTTCCTGTGACACCAGTGAGCAACCAGTGAGCAACCGCCATTGCTTCACCGCTGACTTGGTGTTTTCACCTCTATCTCCATTCTTCTCTGGGGAGAAGAATCTACTGATGATGATGAACTTTATTTAAAAAGGGACAATGCACAGCTCAAACATAAATGTCACCATTTGATGCTCTGTACCAGACTACAGCAAAAGCTAATTTGTATCTGTAGAAAGCTCCAGTTTTGTTACATTGTGTGACGATTCCTCTTTCCGCCACCAGATGGCGTAGTTTGTATTTCTAAAACTTGCTAACTTGTATTTTGTAACTGAACGCTCCTTTGTCTCTGTGTCCTCTCTTGTTTGTGCGTGGTGACGGACAAACTTATGCTTTTATCGAATATTATATTTAAGGGGTGAATAGTTTTGAGCCAATGGGATTCATTGTAAGCAGTATTTGGTATTTTACTGTGGAGGAAATTGTGAAGACCAGTTTTGCTGTTCCTATCTGAGCAACTTTGACTGAAAGCAAATTGTAGTTGATTCTGTAAGAAAAAACTTAAGTATCAAAAATGAGAAACGAAGAAATGGAAAGTTGCTCAAAATTTTTTTTAATTTTAACCATTTAAAAGATCTCTGTATTGATAAAGAGACTGACAGAAAGAAAAGCTTCCTTTTCACCATTTATAGTTTTGCTCAGTGTTTTGCACATAAAGTCGCAAAAAAATATGACAACAACATGGCAAAAGGTTCAAGTGGTCCAAATGTTTTTTAATCTTGTCCAAGTCCACTTTTATCAAGGTACCCAGACTTCCAGCTGCTGCTGGCTATAACTTTGCGTTTCTTCTTCTGCTTTGTTTAGATCGCACTGGCCTCATTGCTGGCATCACCATCGCCATCCTGGCAGCACTGGCTGTAATTGCCGTCATGGTTTTCTGGAAACAGACGAGACCCACCCTGGTTAAAATCAATTCTTTAGTACGTTCAGTCGATCAGAGCTCATCTGAACGGATGATTGTCTGTTCCAGCACTAACCTTGTTTTTTTTTCTCATCTGTTTTAGGTGATCCGTAAAACAAACAAGCCAGAGTTTCAACACCTTCCCGATGTTCCCAGTCCTGTGACAGTGAGCCCTTTCCCGATGCCTCCCGAAGATCCGCCTGTGAAACCCGTCATCATTCCAAAGACTGATGAAGACTACGACCAACGCATCAAGTTGTCACCCAACAACCAGGCTTTTACTGAAGAGCGAGAGGAAGAGAGCACGTCTGATGACCCGTACATGAGCGGGCAAAAACTGGACAGTGACTCTGAAGAGCCAGACTTCATAGAGATAATCCCCTCTCCTTACGAGTGCCGCGGGGTGGTGGTGGAGTTGGCTCCCGAGGACCGCGCTGAGGGATACCGGGCCTGATTAATTGGTTTGATCTAAAAGAAAAGATTAACAATTTAATAACGGGGGGGGGGTCCTTCTCCTTCTCTTCACTTCTTGATTGTGAAAATACGAAGGCCTACGGACTAGAAAACCTAACTGTATTTTCATACAGAGCCAAAATCACAGCTCATCCACTAGTAGTATCTAGCTGAGAATCATTATCACACAGCGACACCTGCTGGCTGGATACTAGCATTACCACATTTAATTAGCTATGAGCGCAGCAGGAAAACAAAATCCTTTTAATTGCACTTTTTGTATATACTTTTTTTTTACTGCTGGTGTTAGAGTAGCAAGTTACAGTAAGATTTCAAATCACCTCTTAGCTTTAATTCTAGTGACTTTCGTTGTGTCGACTGCAGGTGATCTGAATTAGTTTTTCAGCACTTGCCATAATCAGAAACCTGTGAACGGAGATGTAGATTTTCTGAACGGTGCAGCTTCTTTCTTATATGTATAATAATTGGCTAAGTGGGAGTGTTTTTGTGCCTTTTATAATCAGTGCTTTACTGAGGTGAAACTAAAGATTAATGAAATTTTGGAGAATCATGAAAGTTGATGTCATTAAGGGACGCAGGTGCCGATCTTTGTCGAAGTGGGAAGTTTAAAACTTTGAGTGGGTCTTTTCTACGTTATCCAGCTGACTCAGCACTTTATTCCCTCATTAGCTCCTAATCTGAGGTTTTTACCAACCTATCAGCAAATCTCTCTTCCTTGCGCAGGTAGAGGAAGGAGAAGCAATAATGGCAATCCCGGAAATATTGTATAAAAATATTAACTGGGAGATCATCTTTAGGCAAAAATGAGACGCAGGAAAGTCTGGAATCCAGATCAGATTATGGGATTGTGAATGTTCGTCCCTCGCTCTATAAGACCAGCCAGTAAAGTCGCGCGAACTGAGGCTGCACGAGGTCGTTGAAATGCGCGATTGTGACGTTGTTGCTGAATATTCGTCCATTTTTATTTTCCCTTTTATTGTTTCCCCACTTCTGTCGGTGAGCTTCAGCGCCACAGACACTAAAGACATGCGTCAGCTGTGAGCTTCAGGGACCGGAAATGGATTAAATCAGACATTTTGCTTCCAACCAGTCATTGTATTATTCAACTCCACTGTAAACTGATATGTTGACAAATATGGTTGTGCCAACATTGGTTTTAATCTCCCAGCAGTTAGCTGAACATGTATTATTAAAGATGCATTCGGCTCACAGGATTTTAGTAATAAGTTATTCAGGTTTTTATTTTTCCCTGTCTTTCCCCAATGGGGTAAACATTTTTTTTATAAATGTCGAGCTGTGCGTTAGAGAATCTTTATAAATCTCTAAATTTTTAACTCTAAAAAACTGTGGAATAGCCCTTTATTTTCTTGATACTAACAGAAAGTACCAAAGTTGGAGCACCTTGTTTTTCATATTTTAAATTTAAACGACCTTCATTCTTCTTCTGTGTTGAAGGGTGAACGCCAGAAACATTTGACCCAGCTGCATGCCATGCCTTGTGATAAACCTGCTTCAGCTGTTTTATCTCGTCCTGATTTAAATATGCAATGATGGTGTTGGATCTGCCCTACCTTTTCACATACCTCTTGTTTTTATTTCCACTCCATTAATGTTTCAGCTTCAGCACTCCGATAGCTGAGTTTTGTTTTTGGTTCAAACTCGAGGCTAATTCATTTTCATGCTGCTGAGGAGTTGCACTATGATTTCTTAAGATTATATTTTTCTTTAATTTTTTATTTTTGATTCCCTCACTTGTAGAGAATGAGCCACTTTTTTAAACAATCGTCAACCTCTGACTCAGTAAGGCGTACCTGCTTGATAATTTCCCCCAGGAGAAGGAAAACCCAAAGAACTCGTCCATTGTGAATATAAAGTCATGTCAGTCGTTTTCATTTCAAAAGATTTTCCATGCTCGACTTTTCTTCACCTTCCCAAGTGGCTGGATTTGATGTGTGTCTCACTGAGCCCAGCGGTTAGCCAGCGTTAGCTAGCGGAGCCCGAAGGCTGGCGTGAAGCTGAGGGGTAGAGCTGCCAACTTGACATAAAGTACCGTAAATACTTTACCGGTGGAAACAGAATCCATTAATATCCAACGGTCAGTTCATGACGTCTGGGACAGAGAAAAAATGTGTGACTTTAATGTTTGCGAGACGTCGCTGCTCGCCTCGTTACAGTTGAACGTAATCTGTGTCAGGTTTCTGTGCCTTCAGGAAGTTACTGTGATAAAACGGTTTGAAATAAGCGCTTTATTGATCTTGTTAGTTTTATTGTTTTGGAAGTGGCATGCATTTTGTTGTTTATTTAACAGAGTCTGACATACCGTCTGGAAGTTTCTACAGGGGGAATACACACGAGATAAGAGACTGAAACTTTAGCTAGCAGCAGTGATTTAGAGCATAGAAATGTTTTTTTTTTTTTTTTTTTTTTTTTGTAGCAGTTTTTGTGTTTTAGGCAATAACAGGAAAACACTCAAATCCCAGAATACATGTGACAGCTTGAGCGCAGCTCTGAAAATCCAGCAAAGACTTAAACTACAGGATTCAGCCGAACCTCAACCGATGCAGATTCGAAATATTCCAAAACGTCGATTGAAATTTAAGTTGAAGTTGCACGTAAAGGTTTCTTTGCTTACTTTGTGTCTTCTGAAGCCCAAATAAGAAACTTTTGTTGCAGAATCACAGAAAGCTTTCTCTAAAATTAGTTCGACTGTTAAACCAACCAGTGTGCTGCTTCGGAGTCGCATGCTAGCCGAGCGGCACGGCCTTTGACTGCTCCCCTCCACATTGTGGTTGCATGAAAAACTTCACAACATACTCAGAAATAAGTCTGGACTTATAAGTGTTGCTCACAACTTCCAGCTTGCTGTTTGTTCATCACCGTCTCTGTGGTTTCACTCGCATTTCAATGTTTCACGTACACAAAAATGCATGCTTGTGTTTTTTTGTTTTTGTTTTGTTTGAGTTTTGTTCGATTTGAGTTTATTAAAAAATGATGTCATTCTCATTTCTCTCATGTCTGAGTCTTTTCACTTTAATGAAGGGAAGTTGGCATTTCGATAAAGTGAGCCTCCAGATTACTTTATCGAAACCAGGGCCTAAACTCACGTCAGGCCCTGGTTTAAGGGAAGAACCGTGGCTCCCATTACAGGTCATGACATTTGAATGCTCCATGCGGTTCGTTCCTCTTACGCCGTGTGACGGGGAAGACGTTTTGTCTGCTTTTGGATTTGTTTCTTTCCTTCCTTTTTTTTTTTTTTTTTTTCATTGTCTGATCGTTGATATGTCCATATTAGTGCTTCCTGTGCCAGAACTCATTACGTGCATTATCTTTTTAATTGGCGGGCATCTGGTCAGAGTTTCTTGTAATCTGCAGCAATTACTAACCAGCTTTGTCATTGAACCACCATTACAGATCATTACAAATAAACTGCCTACAAACCTTGTATGTCCAGAACTGATTAACTTTTTTTCTTTTTTTTTTTCAGCACTTTGACAAAACAACATAAAGTAGTGCATAGTTGTGAAGTTGGCAACACAGTTTGACAAAGACTGTATGAAGTTTAAAGTGTGTTTGTATTTACTGTTGCTGTGGTTGCAAGTGGCTTTGGGTTTCGTCATCACCTTCTTTGCACATCTACACGTTAAACGTTTGTTTTCTCATTCAGCAATTGTATTTAAGTCTCTACTTTGACTAGGACATTCTTATAAGTAAATGGTCTTTGATCTAAACCAGGTGTCTGCAACTTTTAAAATTCAAAAAGCCATTTTTTGTTACCTCAGTCCAGTTAAATAGAACTCATTTAGAGCCGTTTCCCTTTAAAAAAGGAAAACTTCTTTATAAGCGCAATTTTATGGATGCATTTTTTCTTTTTTCTTTTTTTGCTTGGGTGAATGTTTACAAAAAAAATTGCAACCTAATCAGAAAAAATAGATGAAAGGAATATAAGACTAACACTTTAGGTATGACTCAGCAATTCAGTTACTGTATTTCGTAAAAATACAGTAACTGAATTAGCTAAAGTTACTAGTAAGCCGTTGAGGGAAGGTCCAAACTGACTCCTGATCCGAACCAGTCCGTTTTCCTTCCTGTGCCGTTCCGGTCGAGTCTAATCTCGAAGCCGACTGTAGAACAACGGTCTGGTTTTTACCGGCCCAGCAGTTCTCCAACAGTGAACTTTACAGCTTTAATCATCCTGCTTATTAGGAATTAGGTAATATAGATGTAACGTTTTTATTAGTATATGGTCAAACTCTTTATAATCCCTCAAACAGTGAAGTAACATTTTATCAGTGCATCAATTACTATAAAGAGTCAGAGCAAACACTCCTACTGCTTTAAAAATAAAACACACCTAGACTTCTTCAGTACCACTGTGCTGCTAAATGCACTTTTGTCAATCATCTTTTCAAATATAATTATTGGATGCTCTCAGAACCAACTGTGGGGGGGAAACGGTTCACACAGCTCCAGCCTGTACAACTCTGACTGAATACGGGGGAAAGTTTTCTTCACCTATGAAGATCAGCTAACATCTGAAAACATCTACCTTAACTAGATGACGTGTTTTCTAGTCTCTCTATTTAACATTACATGTTTCTAGACTGATCCATTTAAGAGCTCTGGTGTGTTTAGGGTTTCTGCTGCCGGACGGATCTACTGTGACTTTCTTTTAAACGGTTGTTTTCATCTGTGACTGCAGCTAATCCAGCGTAGTCACCATGGGCCCATTGACTGCTGCTCTGAATAAAGTTCTCCTGGATCAGCCTGTGAGTTCAGGTCCACACACACGTCTTGGTAGGTATACAGTTCAGACATTTTTTTTTTTTCCTCCTATGAGTTTCAGATTAGTTAAAATTTACAGAATGAAAAGCTTAACACCTTTATTTACTTCTCCACAATGTTCTCCCTGATCGGTTTGTCTTCTCTCTTCAAAAGGAGTTGCATGCCTTATTTTAAAGATTTTTATTTGAGAAAAAAAAAAAGTTAACCACTTTGGCTGGACATTGGTACATTAAAATGCAGAGATTTGTGATTGACAACAGAAGAGAAAAGTTCATTGGTGTGAATTCTGCAAAGCTTTAATGTTTCAAGCATTAAAGCTGCAGTATTAAAATTTTTTTTTATTTTTTTTACATACTTGTTTAAACTGTCGATGTAACAGCATAAGACATAATCTGCAAAAAGATCGATCTCTACCTGTACCTCCTTCCTGAGCTGCTATTATCCTCTGAAGAAACGCACCGCTCCCGACCAAAAGCAACCAATCAGAGCCAGGAAGAGGGTCTGCTGCTAAAGGCCGAGAAACGACTTACTGTTACAGAAAAAACTGTTTATCTGCTGTCATTGGCGGCCATGCTAACTAGCCTAGCATTTGTAAAAGGCTATGCCAGCTACAGCCACAACAGCAGGGAGGCTTGATGGGGATGAGCAGCGCCACACAAGATTGTGATTGACACCTCCTGGCTCTGATTGGTTGTTTCTAGTTAGCTGGATGAAGGAAAAGTTTTTTTTTTTTTTTTTTTTTTTCCCCCCAAAATTTTCCTAAAAAACAAAAAACGGGGACAAATTTAAAAAAAGAAAAAAAAAATTTTTTT